CTTCATTGATTGCCAGTCTTTGACGAATCTTAATATCAACTGCATGGATGCGAACAAAATACTTCCGCTAGCCGCAAGACTCTAGACAGCTTGTCAGCCAGAGTACGAAAACGCCACGTCGCATGATCCACTCACCCCAGCAAGACAGCGGGCCTCCACCAAATGTAATGCGAGGTCAGGACAGCTCCACAAATCGGAGAACCTAAGCCGAAGGTAAGTGACAGTGGAGAAAAGCCAGTGGCGCACATGCCTAAGAGTGATCCAATGCCTGTGGACGCAGGTCAGGATGTAGCTCACCGGATTTAATCCACAAACCCACCAGTCATTGTGAACGATATTCCAATTCGAGCGCTTGAACAACTTGTCAGCGTGAACCAAGCCATGCGTCAAGTAGTTACCCAAGATCTGAGACTTCAGGGGTCAGATATGATGTCAACGGGCCAATTAATGCTATGGCTGGGATGACATTTAGTGAGCGTCGGAGGTGTGTCAAGAGCCTACGCACTAACTCCAGAAAAATAACCATAGCTAATACCTACCAGTGCTACGCTGGCCAACGAGCGCAAGCCAATCATTGAAAATATTACAGCGGATGATATGAATGAGCAGCTGATGATCGTATTCGGGATGCCCACGTAGGCAGAGATAACGCCAGCGGTAAGTCTTCCTATGAAAGAACTAGTATTGGAGATTGTAAGCTGTTAAGCCAGTACTAAGTAACTCCTTGTTGACTGATCTCAGGGACACGCACCGAATAAAACGAAAATTCTTTGCTTACACCGTGCCAACGGGAGTCTAATTGGAGATAAAATGCCACGAAAAAGAATCCGACTTCGAAAGCAGCGATCCTAGGCAGTAGAGATCGTTTGAAGGTCCATGTCATCAAGTGTTGACTCACTCACCCTAAACACGCACAAACATAAGCAGGATCTCTCAACGAGATTTGTAAAACACGAGTGTAGCTAACGGCCTTGGGTTGAGGTGGAAGTCTTGTGTGCATCAGAGATACGCTATGAGAAGCAGACCACCAATCATGCCCGCACTAACACGGACACCGTTTGCAAAGCCAAGTCTTCCATTGATGAGGTTGTTGAGCATAATTGGGTGCAGGATTGAACCCATCGACACCCCTGCAACGACGAGTCCCATCGCGAAAGCTCTACGTCGCTCGAAATGATGAGCTACCACGGCGATTGAGGGAATATTCGTAAGGCCTATTGCAATCCCGGAACCGATACCTTGAGAAAGGAATATCTAACATTGTTCTCAATTGAGTTGTGCAGTGACAAGAACTAGACTTGCTTGATATATCCATTCGGTTTTGCTAGTGACAGCATAAAGAGGAAGAGACACTGGAGGAAACAGCCAATTTTCATCACATGATAGCTGGGTGTATGATCAGGGGTACTTTTATGTAAACCGCTTGCACACATACAATGCGCTCAGTCAAGCAACCTTCCTGACACGAGACCGACTGAGAATGTCAAAAATGCATTCACACTTCCTATCCAGCTATACCACTGTTAGTCAAAAGCGCTGGCAGTAACGAAACGGGCCAAGTCAAAGCTCACTGACGCGATTTCAGAAGGTGTAGAATTGGTCAGATAAATTGAGTATAAAAGTCTGTATTGCCATGATCAGCTCGTTCTGTAAAACAATCCAGCGGACATTACCCTGGAAAACGCCGTAGGAGGTGGTATATCTGTAACGTGATTAGCGAAATTGGTCCACAAAACACGAGTCAATTTACCCAGCGCCACAGAATTGTACCAAAAAACTTGACGATGTTTGATGATGAGTATGCAGCGATAGCCATTTAAAACACCTACGCTCCTAGCACTGTGCCCCAAGCTGTTACACCACCCTCGGGAAAATCTGACGGTCTAAGTGGTCGACATGACTGGGATCGCCAGTGCTTTTGACCAGTTGCCGCAAAACGTTTTTGGAAGCTTGCGTTGCAGTTTCATCACTAGGGAGAGGTGTAGACATGGACAACAGGGACGAGAAGGTGGGGGGTGGGTAGCTATGCACACCCTGGACCTGGGGCATCATGCAGTATTTGAGGCGGCCAGTGAAACCCTGAGGCAGCAACTTGACCCTAGCTGTGATTATACGTGCACCCTGCAAACCCGTCAGCGGTTACCCGTACCCATGTGTTTCCTTAAATTGCAATTACCATCGTTCCGGCTTCCGAGTGATGACGTACACAGACGGACATCGTTGGGACCAGCTCTTCGAAGAGGCCAATGGAAATTGGGAGGATTAAATACCTCGATCAGGCGCAATCTAAACAGAAACTAGAGCCAAGCTAGAGGTGAAATTCCCCTGGTGCCCGCCTAACATGGCCAGTAACCACCCAGTTTGTGACCCATGATGCATCCTCATTCCTACAATTACCCTCATACAAGTTGAAGTTATAAGCAAAAGTCATCGCATGTTGGACTGTCCCCTGGAGCTTCCCGAGGAGGGCTTCTAATGTAGGGGGTAGAAAGGATTTGGTCTCTTGGCAATTGGCAAAATGGCAGAACCGCGTTTGATAGAATTGCAGAAGTCGGTAAAAAGATATTGTCTGTTGGCAATTGCCGCTAGCAAGAATGCCAACAACACTAGAAGTGACCCAAGTTAGTCGAACACAAAAATCCCCCCGACTTGATCCAGAGTCACCACATTTCCCGGAAGTTCCCGTGTATCTGTCTACATCACCACCCATGTCTTTTCTGAAACAAGGGGGAATAAAATCATCTTGACTGAGCCTATTAGCGCGTGACAGTGGACGAAGTCTCACCTTCGTGATCATTTGAGTGTTAAGACCCATTCCGTACCACATTATGATATAGACCAAGGTTTTGTGAGGACCCCTTCATAAAGTTGATTCCATCTCCCCATCTAAACAATGTACCACTCCCCAGAATGGTGTCTTGCTACAAGCAAGGTAATTCAATAGGTACATCTGAACTGTACAGCTCTACAGACGGAATGCTGAGTTTATGATAGCGCACACAAACTCGCTATGCCTCCTACACTAGTATAGTCAAAAACTGTGTCGCACACTGACTAACCATAGGGCAACACAGGATAACAGTGAAGTGCTGACCTGACTGCGCACAACTGGACTTTCGAGAAGTGCCTGAACCGGTTCTCGAGTGTACTAGACGAGATTGAGGTCCACGAAGTTGCCGTCAACGACCGGGGCTGCCAAGAGCCTCTTCATGAAACCTGCTACCAAAGCGACCAAAATCAAAGGAAGCGTAAGGCGATGGACCGGTAGGACAAGCTTCGCCTGCAACAGATAAGGGCGGGCCAGCGTGTAAGGCAGCGGTTGCACTACAATAACCGATGTACTTAGCGATTCAATTGTTCGTATGGCACTATGCCGTAAAGCCATAACAATACAGTAGATAATGACATAATGTCTCATGCATCGACATGAAGCTTGTCCAAAAGTGGCAGATAAACATCGGGTTTTCCACCAAGTCTCTCGAGTTCTCTGTTAGCTTGTTGCTCCAACTTTTTGAGCACCGCCAGGGGTGTAATCAAACGACTTGGTGGTGTTTCTGAGGTGCTCGATAGCGTAATATTTGAGGGTAGGAGTCTTGGGGGCGTTTTTGTAGGACATCTGATAATATCATTATCATTGAAATCGAATGAGATGTCAGTAAACATAATTTTGAACTCACTCATGATCAGTTGGTTTTCAGGCTGTTCAAGGATGCCATGAACAATGGGGAAGGAGAATTTTCCTTCAGACAAATCTTCTGCAAAGCCCTTGCTGTTCGTGTACTGAGGAGAATGTTCAGGTTACGTCTCAAAAAATTCAGATTGGAGACTAACCTGATCGTTCTGGAGATTCATGTAGTCATCACGTATTTGGTAATAAATCCCAATGAGATTGCATAAAGGGACGTAGTCACTAAGACAGGAGTATTTAGTCCGAGGAAAATCCAGAGACTCCATGTGAGATTTACACGTTCGTGTTTGCCGTAGCACATGCCATCATGAGTTTGACAGCAATTCTGAGAAGACCGCCCGTTTCTAAGTAGCTATGTTCAGGATAGTTTCTTAGAAAACGACAACAACATACTGTCTTTGACCATCTGCACATACTCATCTTCTGTCGGACAGCGGAGGGTATCACGCCAGAGGATGTCCAGGCCCTGCCCATGATGCAGTGACATGAGTTCGTCTGCCTTCGTCTTTATGTTGGGACTGTATATGTGATAAATGACATACCATTCACTACAAGGTCCAGATCATGATTGGAAATGAGACGTTTAGGGAAATTGGGCTTCTCGGCGACAGAAATGACATCCATAAAACTATTGTCTGGACCTGCACTCGAATCACAAGCGCGACGCCGCACTATGGGCCTCAGAGCAGACAACTCTTGATATGCTAGGAAGTAGATGTAATTGGCGGTATTGATAGTCTGGGGGACACCGTATATTTTATGTGCGACTGGAAAAAATCAACAACTCCTTCAGGGGTATCGCCAACAGCAGACAAACCTGGAATCCCACGTCTCAGCTGAGAGTCGTCTTCAATGTCGTCTACCCTGTAGATATGAAGATTAGTTGGCATTGAGATTAGTTCGATAACATGGAGAGACATACAAGAGACTAGCATCATGGAGGAGACCGACAACGCGGATGATGACCGCAAGCTTGTCTTTGGGGACATTAAGCCAGAGGTTGAAGCCTTCGACAAGCCTGTCTGCGACTTTTTTTCCCGGGTTGGCAGTGATGTAGGTATAGGGCTCGAGCAACGCCTAGCAGAGTAAACCTGAGCCTTTTCGCCAAATCAAGATCTGTAAATATGCTCACGGATTCCTGAGCTTCGGTCCATGTGCTGGACGATGGTGCACACAGGCTTGAGAGGAAGCTATCGTATCTTTCGATATTAGCATGCATTATGACTGTTGAGACAGTTTAGGTTGGTGCAATGGAGTGACCTCAACTCATGAGATTCTGAGACCTCTCACATGAACACCGGGGCGCTGTTCAACGGGCCTATTCGGAGGCGATAAGGGTAACGAAATCTGACGAGTCACATATTCAAAAAAGGTAGGTTCCCCTGCCGCGTTGCAAGAAAGCGAGGATCAAAATCGTCATGCAACGAGCTGAGTCCTATCATCAAAGATTGATAGAGAAATAAGTGAGTCGATGTTGGATTGAAATAACTTATAAGTGGCGGGCTGCGGTACGTGTGTCTGTCACGTAATCGTGTTGAACTTTGCAGGTTTATTGAAGAGGCCAGTGCGCCAAGCACTTTGCCGGCACTTGGTCAAAACTCAGCGCTCAGCCCAAACTTCAAAGTAGTTTTGCTCAATCATGGCGGAGTTAATGAAATATTACTCAGTCTGAGTCAAGACGCAATTATGTAATGGGACCGCAGTGCCAGGGGTGGGAAGCTTCCTTATGCAGTACCTCCTATTGAACTTGAATTACAGTAACCCAGATACACATCTCTCACTTACGCTTTGACTGCCATGTCGTCTGAAACTCCTTTCAAAATTGACGTTCCCGACGAGAAACTGACCGCCCTCCGCGCTAAACTTGAACTCGCCACTTTCCCGGATGAACTGGAGGATGCGGGGTGGAAGTATGGCCCACCTCTGGCGGATATGGAAGCGGCTCACAGAGAGGTGGAGAAACGACTACGACTGGCGCAAACATGAAAAGAAATCAATGAAGAGCTGCAATGTTTACCCGCGATATTGACGTGGATGGTTTTCGGCGCGCTGAATATCCATTATGTTCACAAGAAGAGCGAATCTGTTGACGCCATTCCGCTGGTTGTTTTGCCATGGATGTAGGTCGTCTCGTATGCATGCAGACTAATTTTTCTGACCTTAACTAGGGCCTGGGAGCTTCTTGGAAGTCGGGAAGATTTTGCCCCTCCTGACTGCATCGGCCCCTGAACATCCTAGCTTTCATGTTGTGGCGCTCAGTTTACCAGGTTTTGGCTTTTCGGAGGCTCCCCGCAAACAAGGCTTTCGCATGAATCAATATGTCGAGGTGATTATTATTCATCACACGTGCTAAGTTCTCCACATGTTGACTGGTGTACCTAGGTAGCTCACAAACTCATGATCGCTCTCGGGTATAACGAGTATGGTATGTCGCTAAGTTACAACTGTTATCGCGCGATGAATTAACGAATTTGTTGATTTCTCTTACAGTTACCCAGGGAGGTGACTGGGGTGGCCTCGTGAGTAATGTTTTACAAGCAGACACGACTTATCGTTGATGTATCCTCAGATCACTAGGAAAATGGCTTCTGTGTATGGTGGGAGGCATCACAAGGCATGGCACACCAACTTTCCAATGTATGTCATTTTCTCGGTCAGCACATGCCTTGACTCATTCTCGTCTATGTAGTGCTGAACCACCGAGCTGGAAATCGCCCCTGTCTTTCTTGTCTTTCTTGCTAACCCCGTGGACTATAGAGGAAAAGGCAGGCATCGAGCGCACCAAATGGTTCCGCACCAACGGATATGGCTACTTCACACAACAGAGTACCCAACCACAGACACTCGGTTACAGCCTCGCTGATAGCCCTGTTGGCACGCTTGGTTGGATCTATGAGAAGCTGGTCCTTTGGACAGACAATTACAACTGGTCTGATGATGAAGGTAGCAGCAGTCTTGCTTTTCCGAATATCGCTCACCTGTTTTAAATAGTGCTGACGTGGATATCATTGTACTGGTTCTCTCGCGCCGGTCCCGCTGCCTCCCTCCGCATTTACTTTGAATTGCGTGGCGATTGTGAGGATTTAGGTCGAAGCCCCACTATTCCTATGGGAGCATCGTTTT